AGCCGCTGGCAGCTTTCGTGCCTTCTCTTCACCTTGTAAATCGCCACGAGTTCACGGATGGCTATTTAGTGGCCCTACGATGCTGCAACACATCGGCTTGCGTTTTAGTCGTAACCTTCTTCTGTTCTTTGGCGATGGGCAGTTTGCTGTGTTTGTGTCGGCTGTGGTATGATGACATAGGGCTCTCTTGACGTTTTATTTCTGACCTTATCCGTTAGAGTTCCGTGGCTAGTCGCAAGCATTATGAAGTGATCACCTAGGTTATTATCCTCTGTATGACTCATTTATTTATTTATTTTTTCCTTTAGAAACGCCAACAGCCTTACCAAAATCTGAGCAGATTTGAGATACGGTCATAGTTTAGGTAGATGTTAGTCTTGGAGAACTTATTTTGTGTGCAAATGAATATAAAAAGAACTTAAACAAAGTATTATTACACACATGATATCTATAACTAGGACTTTGATAACTGTTATATAAAGTGTGTAAAGTTTGTATTAATAAATTTTTGTAAACAATGCAATTTCGTCTAATGTTTGGGGGAGAGAACAGTGAAAGCTGCATTTCATTTACATTTTTTTTTTTTAATTAGCTCATTTTTAAGCAGCGTTATTCCAACTTTTCGTGCCTGGCATACCTTTTTATTAAGTCTCCACATTTTACCACCAAATAACCTCTAACATTTTTACCGATGCTTACTCCTCTGTTCGGGTAAATTAAACGGAATTGCTGAAGGGCAGAGCCTGGTTCCACACCCGCCAGCTCCGTAATGCTCCCTAAAATATGCAACTCAAACCAGTCGGTGGCTGTCGTCCGTTCCTCCGACAATTCCTGTGCTTAGAAGCCGTTTATCTTAAGCGGAATGGGTATGTTTGGCGAGATCTCCACCTAATCCGCGTTTAATGAACATTCCGCATGTGATAATGTGCTCCCCAGCAGCACCGGGCTTGGGCAACGGCAGCTTCTTTCTTCGGATTAAAAATGTACCGGGCTGTCCTAAAAAATGATACTGCAAGACAACAAAGAATTACTTGGACTTTGCAGGGTGCTAGGTGGCTACCACGGGAAAGCCCAGGCAGGGCAGTTGGCACAAAGCGGAGGTCAGGATCTCCGACCTTTAATCTTCACTTTAGTTTAGTGATAGCTGCTTCTGTTTATTATTTTTACTGTAGCTCAGGGACTTTACTCAAACATGTTGGAAAGTTACAGCAATTTAGCTTAAACTAAACTCTATTTCCTTCTAAGACCACACGATTAAAAACCAAAGCACAGGAATTAAATGACAGTTTCCTAGCAATTTATTTCTCAAAACTGGAAGCCCAGGATTTGAAACAGACTGCTCACATCCTCTCTGCCTGGAAGGCGAACTCACCTTCCAGACTAGTTGCAGGAACAGCGTTTTACTGACTAACTGGAAAACAGTGAGAGAACTTAGAAAGCTGGTGGTCTCGGCAGTATGCGTTAGGAATTCATGCAAGGTGAGATAAAAGTTCTGGTTAAATGCAGATTGGGTCAGAGACGACTGCAAAAAAGTACCCATTGGGGGGAGGGGAGAGGACAATGATTTCCCGGTCTGATAGCATAAGGAAGTCAAGTTGCTGCTTCCCAAAGGCAGCATACAGTGAAAAAACTGCTGTTAGGTCTGTTCAGTAATTATGTAGTGCTCGTACATAGAATTGCACTGCATTTCCTGCCCATCTAAACTGAAAATGTGCTTAAGAGATCCAAGCTGGAGACCTTCTTGGTATTGGTAGCTGAAGGATGAAACTTGGGATTGGTCTGCCTAGAAATTAAGGTCATTTTTATCAAGTCCTGGCACTTGTTGAAGATGTGGAGAAGAGGGAAGGGCTGCTCTAAATGACGTAGAGATGGTCCTAGCCTCATTTTACTGAAATTCCTCTTTACCAAATCAAACATGATTTCAGGAAGAAGCTCAGCTCTATTCCCAGTGATTTAAATTGCCACCTGAAATGATACACTTGGAAAATGTGCAATATTGAGTCTTAAAACATGAGTTTTGTGGTGATTGCTGATGTCCTGTCTGCTGCTATGCAACTAGCAGCAGAAATGGAGGAAGCTGGCTGAGGAAGCAAGAATGACTTGGCAAGACATGATTCTGGAGCCCCGCATTGTAAAAACTTCCTGACATTCCGTCCAAGTGACAAACTCCAGTTAGTTAATAAAGGAGGCTGAACAGAGCAGGACAGATTGCTCTAGATTCCAGCCCTCAGAAACGTGATGCAACACCACATCCATCACAGACCTACATTGGTCATCAAAACTAGAAGAGCCTGAAAGAACTGATTTCTGTAGAGCCCTGGTGTAAATCTGCCTGTGGCCAGCATCTGCCTTTCATGAGATTTGCTTTTGAGGGTGCTGACCTCCTCTCCATGTGCCTCTGGAGCCTTTCAGCCTTCTTCAAAAAACAAAGTTCATCTATTGGCTGTATATGTTTTCACCTAGAGTTAAGGAAAACAGAAAAATCAGGAGGAAGTTTGATGTTTTGGGGGCTTGTTACTTGATACTTTTGCAGCTTTATTTCCAGTTCCAGGCTAAATCATTTAGTCTTTCTTCAAGAAAAACCTTCAGGGGAAAGCACATCCCTGAAAATTTTAAGGACCACATGCTTAGCCTCTAGAAGTACATGTCCTCTTAACTACAGTCATAGATTTTTAAGACCCAAGGGGACTCTTATGATCATCTACTCTATTGTAGATAATATAGGGAGGGCATCACGTATTTTATGTATTTCATGGTATCCTTCATTTAGCCTTTAATTTCTGAGTGAGCTATTCTGTATGACAGCAGCATTGATTGCAAGACTTGCAGGAATGGCAAATTTGCTGGATAAGTTGTTCCAAATGTGGTGGCTTAGCACGCTGTTCCTTGTTTCAGTTTGTCTCATTTTTGAGTCCAAGAGAATCTCTAATGCCTGTCGATTTTCCTCTCCATGAAGGTAGTCTTAGGCAGAGATTTACTCTCCTCTGTGCCCTGTCTTTGAGGTAGTGAG